AATTCTTTCTTAAGATACTCTGTTGCCTTTGAAAGTTYTTCAGGAGTTCCAATTAGATTCAAATCATCAACATATACAGTTATAATGGCAAATCCCGACTGTGATTTCTTTATAAAAACACAAGGACATATTGGATTATTCTTATATTCTTCTTCCAACAAATATCCACTTAGACGATCGTACCACATCCGTCCTGATTGTTTTAATTCATATAATGATCTTTGTAACTTTATGGAATACAATTCCCGAGCATTAGAATTGGGTACTTTAAATCCTTCAGGAATTTTCATATAAATATCATTATCAAGAGATCCATATAAATATGCAGTGACTACATCCATAAGATGCATGTCAGGACTTTCAAACACAGTCATGCCAATTAAATATCTCAGTGTAATCGCATCCACCACAGGAGAATATGTCTCCTCATAATCAATACCGGGTCTTTGTGAAAAACCTTGTGCAACCAATCTTGCTTTATATCTTGTGATTTCATTGTTTTCATTTCTTTTCCTTACGAATACCCATTTGTATCCCACAGGCTTAACATTTTCCGGTGTCCGGACTACTGGTCCAAAAACTTGACTTTTTGAAAGTGAGTTAAGTTCTGCCTGGATTGCTTCTTTCCATTTAAGCCAATCTTTTCTCTGTTGACATTCTTTCATAGATTTTGGTTCACAATCGTCACTTTCAGATAAAATGTCAATAGCAACATTATAAGTAAAAATATCATTAATAACTACATTAGTTCGGTTCCATCTTTTTCCAGTCATAACGTAATTCATTGAAATCTCATTATTATCTTCAGATACTTGACTTTCCTCAATATCTTTATGAGTAGTCATGTTTAGGATTTCTTCTAGAATATCCTCATTCTCAATTGTGTCATTTTGATTATTGACTATTTTTCTTTTCCGAGGATTTTTATCTTTGGAATCCATTGGTCTACCACGCTTATGGCGTGTTGCAGATTCATTAATGACAACTTTCTGCATTGGGATGTCAATTTTTTATGGAACATTCGCAGCTGGTATATGTGACTTAGTTATTTTCTTGACATTAATAAATGCATCTGGTAATTGATTTGCTATATTTTGCAAATGAATTATTTTCTGAACTTCAAGTTCACATTGTTCTGTACGGGGATCGAAATGAGACAATAATGATTCATTCCATGTAATTTCTTTTTCCAACTTCATTATTCCTCCCCCTAATGTT